CCCCCATCCCTGCCTCCATTGACCTGTGGATATTTCATAGTAGACATCAGGGTGAAGATGCTGGTTGTTAGGACAGGGCTGATGCCTGACAGGTAGGATTTTATTTTTTGCTTTTTTAATAGTGACAATTCCCTTAAAAAAGTTTTTATTCAATTTATTTAATCTGAAAAAACACACATTTTACCTATTTTTCTTCCCCTTTCCCCGCCCCCCCCATCCTCTGCCCACAGTTGGCAACCAACAAACTGTATCTATGAGCTTGTGTGTGTGTGTGTCTGTGTGTGTATATATAAATATTAATATCTGGGTAATAACAAGCTTTGATATAATGGTGTTTTACTATTTATCACTATTTTGGCAAAGAAAAAAGTTTTAATCATAGATTTATAGAAATTCTACTTAGATGGTATCTTGGAAATAGTATAACTCATTTATTTATTTATACACACACACACACACACACACACACACACACTAGAGGCCCAGTGCATGAAATTCGTGCACTGGGGGAGGGCGGGGGAGGATCCCTCTCTCACAGTCCAGGAACCCTCAGAGGATGCCCTACTGACGGCTTAGGCCTGCTTCCCCAGGGGAACGGGCCTAAGCCACAGTCTGGCCTCCCTCTGCGGGAGGTGACCAGGCTAATCAGGGGAGGGGGCCACCCCCATAACCCCACTGCTGCTGCCACTGCCAGCCGCCGCAGCTGCCAAGATGTTTTCATCAATACAGACTCCAGTCCCCTCAGCACAAAAAATGTCTGTGTCCGCTCTGGGCCTGCTTAAGCTGCACAGTGGCGGCTCAGGCATGCCCCCTTCCCCCCCACCCCCGTCTGTGTCCCTGCCCACCGCTCCTGCCTGCACATGCCTGTCAGGAGGCAGTGTGATGTTAGCGCTGGGCAGGCCTGCACATGCCTCCGCTGGGGGCAGAAGTCCCCACCCCCATCCCCCGCTCACCAGCTCCTGTGCGTGCGCAACCTGTTGAACGGTCGTGTCGTGACTAGGACACCGTTAGGACCAATTAGCATATTACCTCTTTATACATATAGATTATTCCACATATAAGACACATTGTACAGTATTTGTATTTCTCTTTCTGGATTATTTTACTTAATGTAGTTTTTGAGGTCCATCCATGTTACATACATATGGCAAGATTTCATTCTTTTTTTTATGGCCTAGTAATATTCCATTCCATATATATGTATATATCACAATTTCTTTATCCATTTATCTGTTGATGGGCACTTAGATTGTTTCCATATCTTGACTATTGTAAATGCTACAGTGAATATGCAGGTGCATATATCTTTGAAATACTATCTTTGTTTTTTTCTGAATACCTAGAAATGGAATTGCTGAATATAGTAGATGAAACAATCCCTCTCCCAGCTTGAAGGAGTGGCCTCATCACTGTCTTGTCATTCAGCACTGCCTCAGCTTTTGGTTGACTCTCAAACCTTTGTGCTTGTCCAAGCAGCCCAGTACATCTTTTTTTTTTTTTAATATATTTTTATTGATTTCCGAGAGGGTGAGGGAGAAAGAGATAGAAACATCAATGATGAGAGAGAATCATTGATTGGCTGCCTCCTGCACGCCCCACACTGGGGGTGAAGCCTGCAACCCGGGTATGTGTCCTTGGCTGGAATCGAACCTGGGACTCTTCAGTCCATAGGCCAACACTGTATCCACTGAGCCAAACTGGCTAGGGCTCAGTACATCTTTAATAGTTCCCAGTAGTTGAACATATGCCAAGACCTGTCAGTGTCCCAAAAGGGTGACTCTCGGGCTGACTGGATGCCAGACCCTCAGGCATCAGCTTTGTATGCAGATGTACCCAGTCATGTGGGACTAAATGAGTAAGCCCCACTGGCCACCAGAAATCAGGGCTTGTATATTTTTTATATAGCTGGAGGGTAGGGTAATTGGGGCAGTGAAGGAATGAGGAGGAGGATAAGGTTTGAAAAATTATGCTGCAACAATTATTACTGGGTGTTTACCTAATGATGACTGTTTCCATCATTCCTTCTACATTTATTGATTGAAGCAATCCCTTCTCCCCATTTATTTAATTATATCCTTATATCAGTATGGACTGATAGAATTTTTATTTTGTCTTATGGGTTATTTATCCATTACCTTATTATGCTGCTAATTATTTAAGAGAGATAGAAACAGTACCACTAAGTACTTACAAGTGCTTTCAAATGTAAAGCCCCCACATCTAACATGACTTATCTTAATTTGTAAGGAAAAATGATATTAAAATTTTAATACTGTAACTTAGATCAGGGTAAGATTTACATATTATTCACACTATTCAGTTGTCAAATGCTTTATGTGTATTTACAAGTCCTTCCCACCTCCACCCCCACCCCAATTAAGGGGCTTGGAGGGAGTAGAATATGGAGTCGGCATAAGGCCAGCCATTAAGCATGCAGGGCAGGAAGATAGAGTTGTATCTTCCTGCTCAGTCAGGCTGTGTAAAAAGTACATCCATTAAATATAGTTTAGTAAAGTCAAAAGATTGAGTAGTTAGCTGACCGGAACCAGGGGAAAAATTTCTTCAGCTACTAATAGTGATACCATTTTGAAGGTGCCTATATTATTTTATTCTTTCCAGGTTTGAACTCAATAAAAGGAAACTGGCACAATTTTTGTACTGCTGTTTATAAAGATGTAACTTATAAGGAACTGAAAAACCTCTTGAATTCCAAAAAAATTATGTTAATTGATGTTAGAAACACATGTGAAATTATTGAGTGTGGAAAAATCCCTGGGTCTGTCAATATACCATGTAAGTGACATGTATCTTAATCTGATTCATTTCAAAAAATACATATTCAGCCAATTTACTGTAGATAAAATTTAATTGAGATTCTTTCTTTCAGTAAATGAGGTAGGTGAAGCTCTACAGATGAACCCAGAAGACTTCAAGGAGAAGTATAATGAAATAAAGCCATCCAAATCTGACAGTCTAATATTTTCCTGTGCAGCTGGCCTGAGAAGCAAGAAGGCTCTGGACACAGCAATATCTTTGGGCTTTACCAGGTATGTAGGTGAAGCATATATACTGTAATGCTTCATATGTATTATGTTATTGGTCTACTGAATTTCTTACACTATTAGTAATGGCAGTATAGCAAGAGTTAGAGCCTCTATCTTTTCATAGTGCTCAAAAGTAACACAATCTTTTAAATAGGCTTGTAGTCTACTCTAAACAGTATAGTGAGTAGCCATCGCATCTCTCAATCACTAGTTTTCATCAACCTTGTTTTATGAAGCAGTAAAAAATGTTTACAGCCGAAACCGGTTTGGCTCCGTGGTTAGAGCGTCGGCCTGCGGACTGAAAGGTCCCAGGTTTGATTCCGGTCAAGGGCATGTACCTGGGTTGCGGGCACATCCCCAGTGGGGAGTGTGCAGGAGGCAGCTGGTCGATGTTTCTCTCTCATCGATGTTTCTAACTCTCTATTTCTCTCCTTTCCTCTCTGTAAAAACTCAATAAAATACATTTAAAAAAAAAAAAAATGTTTACAGCACTATTTGATGTATGTTTTCAGGTCTCAGCACTATGCTGGAGGATGGAAGGAATGGTCTACCTATGAACATTCAGAGAAGAAACAAGGAAACTGAAGTTTGGAATACAAGCTGGCTCTTGCCTTATGTACATGCAGCCTAGAGTTGTGGAATGAGCAAAAGAATAAAAATCTAGCTCTGGCACCACTGGCTAATGGGAAGGGGATTTTGTATAAGTCAATTAATTGTTGAATCTTTTTCTCAACTGTAAATTGAGAATACTACTTCCCACCCTGGCCTGGTAACTCAGTTGGTTATTGTGTTGTCCCATATGCCAAGGTTGTGGATTTGATCCCTGGTCAGGGCACATACAAGAATCAACCAATGAATGCATAAATAAGTGGAACAACAAACAGATGTTTCACTCTTTCTACAAAAAAAGAAAAAAAGAATACTACTTCCCCCTGCCTACTTGCACAGGCTATTGAGGATTGAGATACTGTTAGTGACTTGCCATGGAAATATAAAGGTTGGGATTCCAGGAATTAATTTTTAAATAGGTTACTAGAGTTCAAAAGTATTCCAAAAAAACCGAATTACTATTTGGATTTCCTAATCATGTGCATATGTGTTAGCACACCAATCAGAGGCTATGAGTTAGACCAGATTAATAAACAGACTTGACCTTAAAATGCCAAGAATCTGGAATCCTTATTAAGTAGTTGAAATAATAAACAATGAAAATATATTAACAGCATCCAAAGACTTATGGCAGTGTTGTGACCAGCATGGTAGTGAAATAATTTTCAATTTAAAAATAGGAATCAGAACAGTGGTTGCTTCTATTGAGGGAAGGAGACTAACTGGAAAGGCAAGGAGGGAAATTTTTAGGGTAATAGAGATGCCTTATATCTTGATGTATTGACACATACATCATCAAGACTCACTGAAATAGACACTTGAAAATATACATTTTCTATATCATTAAAAAAAATATATACATGTATATGTATTTAAACTTAACCACTAGCATGAGTATATTCCTTAGCAATGCCTTACACTTGTTAGTGTGCTAGTGGTAAAATATTTGTGCTTTCTTCCATCTGTGCCTCTTTGGACCCATCTGGGTAAGTCAATGATTATGACATATAATCACTCCACTCTTCCAACACAAGCCCAATCTTAGTTCCTTCAGACCTGAGAAAAGCTTTTTTTCTTTTATCTATCTTATCCTGCCCATGAGACCTTTATTTGTCGCTGATACTGACTTTATACATAATCTCCCTTTCCAGATTCTCTGCTACTCTTCACAACAACAAAAGCCCCCTTAACACAAGTGATTAATATTTAGCCTTAATTTTAAACCTTTTGAAATTACCCACTTGATTAACTATAGGAGGCTTTAATACTTGTCTAAAGAAGAAGCACTCTTCTCAGAAAACAACATAAGGCAGATTTAAAAAGATAAATATTCAAGACACTGGTCAATATAGCTGGAGAACGTACTTTTATTTTTGCAGTTTTATACTACGAAATCAACATGTAATTTCATTGTTCACAATTGATTCATAAAATTTTTAATCCTTAAATTGTACATCAATATCCTATGACTCTAAATTTTATCTCTCCCCTTCAAGTCTGAAGAAAATGATTAATTTATTAAGTTCCACAGACAGCACAGTCCCACTGACATAACATTTAGTCTTAAATCCTACGCTCATGTGAGAATTAAGAATAGCCAGTATCAAACTGGCCTGAAACCTGATTGTGTTCCTGGCTCAGGATACCTGTAATAAATTTGTAAATCCAGGCTAAGACATAAAAATAAACTAGAGTGTGTATGTCATATAAAAAACTTTTCACAGTAGAGTAAAAATTAACATTAAAATGTTATCAAATTTCAACCATTTTATGTTTTATCCAATTAGCTTTCTAAATGTCTGATTAAACTGAGTCAAATGCAAATAACTTCATGTAGGTTTTTAAAAAAAGTTTGCCCAGCATTTCAAAATGGTTACAGAATTAATAAAATTTTTAAAATGTCAAAGTATGCTATACATATTGCACTTTTCTGCGAGGCTGGGCTAGTATCTTCCATGGCAAGATACTAAAACTACTGAATAAAATACACTTTAAAATCAATAGGTACTTGATTAATTTCCCTGAAATTATCAATATCATTACCAAAATCTTCCAAGATTTTGTAAGATTTGATTCCTTAAATACAGTTTTAAAGTTTAAGTTAAGGAGGGAGAAAACCCCTCATATAGTTCACTTTTTATGTCCTTTTTTGGTCCTTCAATGACCAAAGAGAATTTTAAACAAATTATGCTTCATGTTTCCTGGCTTAATAAAAAACTACAATTATTATCCAAATTAAGAAAAATTATACTAAGCAAAAGCTATTAATTTTGAAATGTCTGTCTGTAGGTCCCCTTAGAACCTTTCCAAACTTTAAAAAATCAAGAGCCTTTAATCAATTATGTACTAGAATCAAATTAGGTAAGGAAAACCTTATTTTGCAAAAATAAAATCACTTCCCAATATGCTTGACAGAAACAAGCTATTCATGTTCATTTGTGTTCCATTGAAGACATTACTGAAATCTGTCCAATGGTTTATTTCCAACTGGTCCACTACGGAATTCTTCGGAATGTTTTAAGATTGGCTGTAGCTAGAATTCTGACTTCCATTTGGACCCTGCTCTCCTTCACTGTTCAAGTGGGGAAGAAAGAGATTTTATACCAATTAAAAGATTCATTTTCAACACCCGGATAAGCCTACTAATAATTTTAACATTAGTTATTCTGTAGTACAAACTTACAAAACAAAGACATTCCCAACTGTAAGACACAGATGTGGAAAAATTAAATCCAGAAGACTAACATTTGGTTTTAAATTTTTATTCTTATATAACTTAGTGCCCTCATACATAACAAGCATTCTGGAAGTTAGTGTCCATATACACTCAAAAAATTTAAATTAGGGTATGGGATTTCATTGTCATTACAGGTATCACTCAACATATAGATTAGAGCTTCTGAACAAATTTCCTATAAAATTAAAATCTTACATATAAAAATCTTATTTCTACTAAACAACTATGAAAATCAAGAAGTATTCTCCACCCAAAAAATTACTATCCAAAGGCATACTAAAATCATATGTAAACACAGCAAACCTTTATAAATAAAAATATGGTAATTTCCAGGAAAATGCTGAATATTCAAAATAAAAATAACTAAAACTGAAAATACCAGTATCTGTGGCAATAGGATTATTGCCTTATCTTGTCCATCATCATCTTGCAGCTTCAGGCCCTGCCACTAGTGGAGAATCACTCAGGGAACTTCTGCAAAAAATGCATCCAAAGGTAGCTGTTTGAATGACTGCCTTAAAACAGCTCCTTGTATAAGTATTTATTTTTTCCCAACAGTGACATTAACTTATCAGACCTACAAATCTATCTCAATGTTTGATAACTTAAATATAAGTTAATTAGGATGGGCACTATTTGTTTAATCCCTTCTGACCTTGATTCCTACCCCAATGATCTGATGTACAGTGAAAGCGAAGAACCACTAAACTAAATGAACAGATCCTATTAAAACAACAACAAAAGCCCCTTGAGCATAAGTGATTCATATTTAATAAGATTATGTTTATTGGGTGTCATTTGGGGCACTCAAAAGCTAAAATTTTTTATCTTTACAATATCAGATCAATAATCTAATTCATAAAACAGGATAACAGCCAGTATCGGGGAAAAATAAAATAAAAAAGATGACACAGAGTCACACTGACATTGGAGTACTACAGAATTCTTTATCTCTGAATCTCTGATAAACTGGCCTAATTTTGTCCTTCTTAAATTTATGTATAGTATCTAGCCATATGTTGAGGGATACCTGTAATAGACCTGCCATTGCATTAGGAAGTTACTAACAGATGATCCAATTAATATTTTAAAACAAGACATTCTTAATCTATCAAGTCAGAAATTTAAAAAAAATTAGTATGTATTGTGAAGTTTTGGAAGAAATTTTAAGGAAAAAAAACCCCAATGTAATCTATGAAAAAATGTGATAATATATATGAAATATATAATTAAATGGAATCTATAATTAAAGTTTACAAAGTACCTGTTTGGAGGAGGTTTTGGTTTTGGCATCTTGCTAAGAATAGTTGCCATCTCTTTTCTCTCATCGAAATTCTTCCACTGTTCATATAGTTTTAAAATAACCCTGATTATTTCCAAAATCTAGAAGAAAATATTTAAAAAGTTCTCAGTGACAATGTAAAGCAACATCTAGTATATAAAGAATACACATCCAGCATGCCTCAGAAACAGTGAGAAGACAATGTCTGTCCTTAAGTATTTAAGCAAGACAATCCTGATAAATGTGAAAGTAGTATTTGTATCTGCTATTTAGGCTTTTCCTTCTAGCCTCTCATCTGTTAACATGTATGCCCCTGTCCATCCTTATCCATCTCTCTGCAGTTAGTTTCCTTCCATCTGCTGATATCTAAACCAAAAGAAAACAGTGAGGTACTAGGAATAGAAGTCTAAATCATGAAGTTTACCACTATACAGTAGTTTCAAACAATTTAATGGAAAGTAGTGCAAAAAGATATTGTTTTGATTCTATTAACTATAGTAAACAAGTTAAGGTGCTAAAAAATTGGCAGTTATAAATTTGTATATCCAGTTTCCAAATTAGCTCTTTCTTTCTCACCTGAGTAGACCTAACCTTGGATTAATTTGAATGCTATTAACATTTCAGCAGGAAAGATAGAAAAAAGGGCAAAAACCGCTTTGCCAGAAGATAGCCTGTGTCCTAGAAGTTTATAGCACCATTTAGTGGTCACTAGGTAGCTTTTAAAATAATCCTGAAAATTAGAGGCTGCTCTTCAACTAATCAAACTAAAAGTTTACCATTCTGCTTAAGCCTAAAATGAAAAGAGAAAGAGAACCTTAGTCTTCTTGCTAAACATGTTTCTTCTTTTTTATTTTTTACCAAAAACTTTTTAGCCTGATCTGAGCCTTAAGACTTTAGTAAATATGACATTAACTTTAAAATGTTCAAGTTTATATTCCACTACGGCAGCAGTTCTCAACCTGTGGGTCACGACCCCTTTGGGGGTCGAATGACCCTTTCACAGGGGTCGCCTAAGAACATCGGAAAACACATATATAATTACATATTGTTTTTGTGATTAATCACTATGCTTTAATTATGTTCAATTTGTAACAATGAAAATACATCCTGTATATCAGATATATACATTACGATTCATAACAGTAGCAAAATTACAGTTATGAAGTAGCAACGAAAATAATTTTATGGTTGGGGGTCACCACAACATGAGGAACTGTATTAAAGGGTCGCGGCATTAGGAAGGTTGAGAACCACTGCACTAAGGGAATTTTAAAGAATACCTTCTCCATATCCACAGAAAGCTCAGCAAACCACTGTCTGGCATCTTTCTGCTGTACAACACAGGCTACATGTAGGCAAGCTGGAAAGAAAATAAGAGACAAAGGCCCACGTTTAACTAGAAACATACAATGTGTGGACTCAGAACTAAAGGTAAAATTTTCTCTTACATTTTTCATGTATATTTTCCAATATTCTTTTAGAAAATTGCATAGATTCATATAATAGTTACCATTGACCATGCCATCAATTTAACCTCATACAGACAGAAAAAATTATTAGACCATATTAAGGTTCTTTTTTTTTTTTTTTTTTTTAAATATATTTTATTGATTTTTGACAGAGAGGAAGGGAGAGAGATAGAGAGTTAGAAACATTGATGAGAGAGAAACATCGATCAGCTGCCTCCTGCACATCCCCCACTGGGGATATGCCCACAACCTAGGCACATGCCCCTGACCGGAATCGAACCCGGGACCCTTCAGTCCTTAGGCCGACGCTCTATCCACTGAGCCAAACCGGTTTCGGCCATATTAAGGTTCTTGACATTTCCAGCTCCTCAGTGTGGCATGGTGCAGTTGCCTTGAGAGTCAGGGCATGTTAGAGAGAGGAAAATTCAATGAGGAAATTAAAGCAGAGAAATTATCTCTGAACAATGATACAAAGTAGTATACAATATAATCAGAAGTCAGTGTGATTAAAAAAAAAAAAAAAGAAAGAAAATGCTTGGCCAGGTGGCTCAGTTGGTTGGAGTGTCATCCCGTGGCAGGTTAGGGTTAACGAGGCATGTGGCCCACCAGCCGTGAGTTTGACGTGCTTGCCATACACCAAAGGTGGAAGGTTTGATTCCTGGTCAGGGTTCATACCTAGGTGTGGGTTCAATCCCCAGTCCAATTGATGTTTCTCTCTCACATTGATGTTTCTCTCTCTCCCCCCTTCCTTCCTCTCTCTCTAAAATCAATAAACATATCCTCGGGTGAGGAGGTAAGTAAATAAATAAATAAAACAAAACAAAAATCTCAGCCAAGCAATATACTGATAAATTTCAACAATATGGACCATGTTTTGATATTTCAACTAAAAGTAGTGTTTGTTGACTCTGCCTTTTTTTTTAAAAAATATATTTTATTGATTTTTTACAGAGAGGAAGGGAGAGAGATAGAGAGTTAGAAACATCGATGAGAGAGAAACATCGATCAGCTGCCTCCTGCACATCTCCTACTGGGGATGTGCCCGCAACCCAGGTACATGCCCTTGACTGGAATCGAACCTGGGACCTTCCAGTCCTCAGGCCAATGCTCTATCCACTGAGCCAAACTAGCCTCAGCCTCTGCCTTTTTTTTTTATTGTCACATGAGGATATGTTTATTGGTTTTAGAAAGATGAAGGAATGGAGGGAGACAGGTGTGAGAGAAACATCAACCAACTGCCTCCTGTGTGCACCCTGACTGTTGAACCAGCAATCTAGGTATGTGCCCTGGCCAGAAATTGAACCTTGCATGGGAGGATGCTCCAACCAAATGAACCACCCAACCAGAACTACTTTTTAAAGTTATTAGTATATCAAATTAGGTGAAAACTGGGCACATTAGTACAGAATTGAGTGTTGTAATAAAATAGATCTTAGAAAAAATATATAATGCATTGTATATACTTCTATACATTACTAGAGGCCTGGTGCATGAATTCGTGCATGGGTGGGGGGTCCCTTGGCCTGGCCGGCGATTGCGGCCACAGGAGGTTAGCTGGCTGGGGGGAGGGGCCACGGGAGGTTGGCTGTGGGAGTGCACTGACCACCAGGGGGCAGCTCCTGCATTGAGTGTCTGCCCCCTGGTGGTCAGTGTGTGTCATAGTAACCGGTCAACAGGTCATTCAGTTGCTTAGGCTTTTATATATATAGAATAGATATACAACTAACAAAGATAGTAAAAATTTCAAAGATAACAAGCTACATCATAATTTTGCCCAATGTAATTCCTACTGAGCAGCTTGGTTACTTGGATTCCACCCTAGCTTGTTAAGACTTATGTTCCCTGATGTGCTTACACATACGACTTTGCTAAGGATGATATTCTAGGCAATCAGTGACTTAACTGTAAATGGTTGCAGTGGTTGCACCAAGTCAAATGGAGCTATATAAAGGACTTAGATCCAGGAGGAGTTGAGAAGCTTAAAGACTGAAATTATAACAGGTAACTAAAACACAGTGGAAAACATCATAAGGGTATTTGCAGAGTACATTGAACCCAGCATGAGATGATATAGGGAGGGATAGTGGGGGGACAGTATGGCTAAAGGTGAAATCTGAGCCAAGTCTTAAAAATAGGTGAGAGTGGGAGCAGAAAATGGCATGCATATAAATGGTCAAAAGAAGTTGTATATTTTATCCAAAAATTGGGAGAAGCACTTAAAAGTTTTCATTGGAAAAAAAAAAAGTTTTCATTGGGGTAAAATTCTACATCAGAGTTTCTCTGCCTTGGCACCATTGACATTGTGGGCTGGACAATTCTGAGACTGACAATATCCCTGGCTTCTACCCACCAATGCCAATGGCATCTCAGCACAGCTGTAACAACCAAAACCATTGCCAAACATCCCCTGAAGAACAAAATTATCTCTGGTTGAGAACTAGTAGCCAAGTTCAAGTGTGGAGGAGATTGGCTCCCTAAGAACAGGGATGCTGGAGGCCAACTGGTCAGGAAATAGACTATTGTGGTAACTTGAACAAAAAAAGATTATGGGTATGAAATTACTAAAGAAAGGTACTAATTACCAATACAGTGAGCCCTCGATTTAACGAACTTTGGATTTAATGGACAAAATTTCAGGTCCCTATGTCATTTGTCAAAATTAATACCCCGTTAATTCTAAAATGCTTTAAAGCAAAATTTGCTTATAATTAACAGGTTATTTTTGTCATTAATTGTTATTTTAAATAAATTTTGTGAAATTAAACTTCAACATATATAAGTATAACGTATATGCCACCCCTGATATGAGAAGGATAAGAAACATTAACATTAAAGGAATAATTGAAAAAGAGAAAACCGTAAGTCTGGACTGTTAAAGAATGGGGGAAGTGATCAAGTGGATAGAATCATGGCTATCAACAGAGAAAAGAACTGGAACAAAAGGTAATAAGTGCCTAATATAAGGCAGACAATATTTGGTGTTCTATAAGGTAACTCATTTAATTCTTACAACAAGTCTGTATGGCGCTGTTAGTATCCCCACATTTTACAATTTAGAAAACAAACTAAGAAAAGTTAGATAATTTTTCCACAACTATAAAGGAAGCAAAGTTTAAACCTAGGGTCATCTGACTCCAAAGACTGTGTTCTAACCCAGTACTGCCTTCCACAGATAATAGAATGGTAGCTAACTTATCCCTTCAAAAAGGTGTTAAGGACCACAGAGGCTCCTTTACTCAACTTTTGAGGACTTTATTCTGAACTTTCCCCCCTAAACACTGGTTAAAATTATTTTAAATGATTAAAAAAACCAAAAAAAACAAAAAAAAGGAGGGTGAAGGGGGACAATAATCCTGATTTGTGACAGTTTAGTTCATATTATTGAAAACTCGCCCTAACCGGTTTGGCTCAGTGGATAGATAGAGTGTCGGCCTTCGGACTCAAGGGTCCCAGGTTCAATTCCGGTCAAGGGCATGTACCTTGGTTGCGGGCACATCCCCAGTGGGGAGTGTGCAGGAGGCAGCTGATCGGTGTTTCTCTCATCGATGTTTCTAACTCTCTATCCCTCTCCCTTCCTCTCTGTAAAAAAGAAATGAAATATATTTAAAAAAAAGAAAAGAAAACTCACATGCAAGGATTAGTCTATTACTTCATGAAATATAAAAAAAAGTACTATAGGGTGAAATTTCTTTTAGGATGACCTAAATAGATTTATAACAATTAAACTAATAAAGATAAATCACACTTACATACCTAAAGCTATCATGAAAGGAGGATACAGTAGGCAAAGATCCGTTCTGTAGGTATCATTCACTATCCTCCTATAGAAATGTAAACCATATTATTACTGAAAGCAGAACTACCTCATATGATTATACATTTCCCTCCAGAGAGGGCTGTATTTACCATCTTTGTACACATTATTTCTCTTTTATATTACCGAAGCACAGATATAAAGGTGAAAATATCATGGGAAAAAGATGGATACATGAATGATTCAATAAATAAGCATATTTTAATGAATAAAATGATAGCTAAATATATTTTAAAATTTAAAACCTCACAGTAAATTTTAAAGATTTTCTTCTAATTTTTCAAAAATTAGAATATCATATAGGAAACCAGAAATCATACAATGAATATGTACACTGAATACCACCAGAAAGTAGTCTGATAATTTTGAAGATAAATTGACTTTTTATATCAACAGTGTTTTTCATAATAATCAAATTCTAATGAAAATATTCATCAAATATATAATTTAAAGATTTTTATCATTTGTACCAACATAGTTATTAAAATTCAATAAGTATATATTTTTTCAACATAAAATATCTTGGGGCACTACTTTAATTACTTTAAAAATACTAAACTTAATATTTAGTCATCAATCTTCTTAGCTAATAACAAGTTATACTATGAATAACTTCTGTTCTAATTACCATGCAAGGGGAAGCAACATGTCTTCTTGGCCCATGTCCTGCACATACTGGAGCAAAGGTCTATAAGGATGATACACTATCAAGCAACAATCCTAGAAACAGTTTAAAAAATGTATATGTATAAAAACAGATTTATTACAACACAAAAAACTTATCATTACCCTACTGATTTATAATTATGTATTTCTCTAACTCATGCTTGCTTCCCTCTTATTGTCTTAAGAAACCAGTATGGCAGCCCTAAACTATTATAATAGAGAAGGCAGTGCTCTCTCTGGAATATACCTTGGCAAATCGGTTGGCAGTCAGTCAGCATCCAATCCCTTAGAGACTCAAAGTGTCACATCTGCAACACACTGAAACCTCTTATTAGCCTATAAATCTGTAATTCCCACCTGGAGGAGAATTCTGCCAAAGACATATCTATCTTTAAATAACACCACAAACATACACAAATTGTGCAAATAATTGACAGTGGTTTAATGTCCTGATTGGTTTGCTTGTAATCCTTTTATTATAGTTACTATAGAACAGAAAAATATTCCCATCCTAAGTAGGCTATACAAATTATTTAAGAGGATACAGGTGATGATGCTACTAGGTACTATGATTTCACCATCATGTATCACATCACTTAGTTTTAAAATGCACCTCCCTACAAATATTTCTTTAAAAAATTTCTAACTTCACTAAATAAGTTTTATTCTATTAATCACAAGGAAGAAATATACTTACCATTAGTTCTAAAAGATAGAATTCACATTCTAATATCTGTTTAAAAAAGATTATCAATGTCAACATGAAATAAAATTAGATGAATCTACTTAGTCTAACAACGATTTATAGGCATAGTAATTTATCACAGATTTTTACTAAAAACTTTTAAATCAAGAACATAAACATAGTAACTCATATTAGAATTAACTTATGCAATAAAATGATTACTACATAAGGCATACAATTATGATTATAAAGGATTTTAATCCCTAAAGAAACCCAGCCTCATGAACATTCTTATTACTTATTTTTATTTAAAATATCCAGTATAAACTTTAGGTTTTACAATATACAAAATGGAATTATCTTAAATGTTATTCTTATTATATTATAAATCAATAAAAGGAAAGAATACTAAAAAATGAAACAAAAGAAAACCAAGATGGCGGCATAGGTAAACACCTGAAATTGCTGCCTTGCACAACCACTTCAAAACTACAACTAAAAGACAAAACGGACATCATCCAGAACCCCAGGAAGGCTGGCTGAGTGGAAATTCTACAACTAGAAGGAAAGAGAAAAGCACACTGAGACTAAGAAGAGGTGCAGAAGTAAAGTGCAGAAGTAAAGTGCAGAAGTAAAGTGCAGAGGTACGGAGGCGCATGTGGAAAGGGCTGGCAACTGAGGACACGGTTGTCTTTTTTTTTTCTTTTTCTTTTTTTAAAATATATTTTATTGATTTTTTAACAGAGAGGAAGGGAGAGAGATAGAGAGTTAGAAACATCGATCAGCCGCCTCCTGCACACCCCCCACTGGGGATGTGCCCGCAACCCCGGTACATGCCCTTGACCGGAATTGAACCCGGGACCTTTCAGTCCGCAGGCCGACGCTCTATCCACTGAGCCAAACCAGTTTCAGCACGGTTGTCTTTTTTAATCAGTAGGGAGACACAGCCTCCCAACTGCTCTGAACTACAGTTCTGGGCGAGTCTCTGGGGACCCAGACTCATAAGGGGAGAAACTGAATTGTCTGGCATCGGGTGGAACTTGAGGGCGGCTTTCTCTCAGAGGTGCTTACAGCATTTACTGAGGGACAGAGACCCGGGGCCTCTTAGGGCAGGGCTGAGGATCAGCCATAGCTGTTTGCTCCGCCCTGTTGATTCCCTGAGACCCTGCCCCATCCAAGCTGTGTGCAGAGGCTTTTGCATATGAATGCCCTGGCCCTTTGCAATCTGAAAATTACCTAACAAACTGCAACTGGGTCAGAGAGACCCAAACATCCAAAAGAAGGCCCAAGGCCCCACAGCAGCTTGCACTGCTTCACAGCTGGGCCTCATCTGGGCACCTCCAAACCCCAAACAAAGAAGAGGAATCTGCAGATTTCTCTGTAGCTCCTGCTGGGTAGCCTCAGGCAGAGGCTAAATTAACACCTCCTTAGAGATCCAAGAGCCAGTGTACCCAGTGGTCAGAGGGGGACCATCCAGATCACAACTCCTCAGATCCATAAGGGACACACTCAGGGGGCTGACTCAGTGAGCACCAAAGACCCACTGAAGCAAGTCTTGCCCCGGAGGGGTGTCTCCAGCACAGAAGTTCTCCCACTGCAGACACAGCTGATTCTCACAGCCAATTGGCCTGGAGGTCAATTCCTCCCAGTGATACCAACAACAATCAAGGTTTAACTACAACAAGACTGCGCACAAAGCCCACAAAGGGGTGCACCAAGAGTGTCCACCTCAGGTAATTGGGGAAGCTGAGCCACTGGGCCCTATAGGACACCTAGCACACAAAGCCACTCTATCAACACAGGGAAGCAGTCAAAATGCGGAGACAAAGAAACAGGTCACAAATGACAGAAATGGAGGAAAGCAAACTACTGGCTATAGAGTTCAAAACCACGGTTATAAAGTTTTTCAAGAATTTTCTAGAAACTGCCGGTAAATTTAGTGAGATCCTAAAGAAATCTAGTGAGACCCTCGAGAATATGAAAAAGGACCAACTAGAAATTAAGCATACACTGACTGAAATAACGAATAATATACAGAGATCCAACAGCAGACAAGAGGATCCCAAGAATCAAGTCAAAGATTTTAAATACGAAGAAGCAAAATCACCCAACCGGAAAAACAAAAAGAAAAAAGAATCCAAAAATATGAAGATAGTGTAAGGAGCCTCTGGGACAACTTCAAGCGTACCAACATCTGAATTATGGGGTTGCCAGAAGAAGAGAGAGTGCAAGACATTGAAAACCTATTTGAAGAAATAATGACAGAAAACTTCCCCTACCTGGTGAAAGAAACAGACTTACAAGTCCAGGAAGCGCAGAGAACCCCAAACAAAAGGAATCCAAAGAGGACCACACCAAGACACATCATAATTAAAATGCCAAGAGCAAAGACAAAGAGAGAATCTTAAAAGCAGCAAGAGAAAAACAGTTAGTTACCTATAAGGAAGTACCCATACGACTGTCAGCTGATTTCTCAACAGAAACTTTGCAGGCCAGAAGGGAGTGGCAAGAAATATTCAAAGTGATGAATGCCAATACCCTACAACCAAGATTACTCTACCCAGCAAAGCTACCATGTAGAATTGAAGGTCAGATAAAGAGCTTCACAGAGAAGAAAAAGCTAAAGGAGTTCATCACCACCAAACCAGTATTATATGAAATGGTGAAAGGTATTCTTTAAGAAAATGAAGAAGAAAAAGGTAAAGATAAAAATTATGAACAACAAATACATATCTATCAACAAGTGAATCTAAAAATCAAGTGAACAGAAAATCTGATGAACAGAATAAACTGGTGAATATAATAGAATCAGGGCATAAAAAGGGAGTGGACTGATAATTCTCAGGGGTACTGGGGGGTGCGGGAAGAGACTGGACAAAAATTGTACACCTATGGATGAGGACGGGGGGGGGTAAGGGCGGAGGGTGGAGTGGGAACTGGGTGGAAGGGAGCTATGGGGGGAAAAAAGAGGAACAACTGTAATAATCTGAACAATAAAGATTTAATTTTAAAAAAAGAAACAAAATAAATACAAGTTAAACGGAATGAAGAAACCCCTTGCAAGGTGGAAAACAACATACCTATATGAATGCCAATAGAGATTTATCTTCTAACATAATGTAAAATTTCAAATATGATTCTCATACTATTCCATAGTAGCTCCAACTGCACATTGGCATCACCTGGGAGCTTTTAGGAATACCAGTCCCCAGACCTCAAGACTGAAAATCTTCATTTAGCTGGTCTAGAGAGGTCCTGACATCAGTATTATTAGGTTCCCAAAGTGACTTAATGGACACCCAAGGTTTATAACCATTGCTATGAAGTATTTTTAAAAATAATAGAAACAATTTAGCTTTCATTTAGAATTAAAGTCTATATTGTAATATTTGGAACTGCCATTTCTAGGAGACTATTCAGTTTATTCTAATGTAAAATGGAGCTAGTTTATATGTAACTTTGACAAATAGTTTTACTTGATACAATATACTTACATGGTTCATCCTATAAGGAAATTCCTTTGGAAAGGCATATGAAAATCTAGTTTTTACTGGAGAAAACAAAAAACAAAACAGTAAATGAGAAAGTGAATTAACCCCAAATTTCTTTAACATTTTGTATAGTATTTAAGGTAGGGCTTCATCATTTTTAGTAGGGAGCTTGGAGACACTTAGAAACCCAGATTTTCTTGCTTTTAGGTGAGCAAAATGAGTGGCAGGAAGTCCCAGGCCCCCATCCATATTACAATTACAGAGCCTCAATTAAATAATGCTATAACCAAATATGAAAAGATACTTTTTTTTTAAGGAATAACTTTTTTATTCAATATTGTTAAGCCAAAACTTCCATGTGGTCATTTAGCTTAGAAGGAATCTGTTCACAAAAATATCTATACTAATAAAAGAGTAATATGCTAATTAGACCGGGTCGACCGGACACCCGACTTCCTTCCAGACAAAGCCACGGTGGTGGGGGCTGAGGCAGAGGTGGTTAGGGGCAATCAGGCTGGCAGGGGAGCAAGCAGTTAGGAGTAAGATCAGGTTGGCGCAGGGGAGCAAGCAGTTAGGGGCAAGATCAGGCCAGCGCCGGGGAGCAAGTGTCACGATTGCCCCCAACTGCCCTCCCCTGCCAGCCTGATCACCCCCAACTGCTCTCCCTTGCTGGCCTGATCACCCCCTAACTGCTTGCTCCCCTGCGCCGGCCTGATCTCGCCCCTGACCGGGAATCGAACCAGCAACCTTTTGGTGCATGGGACAATGCTCAACCAACTGAACCACTCCAGCCGGGCTTAACTTTACTTTTTGTCAAGTATAATAGCCATGAAGGTCAGTGACCTCAGGAGATTTAATAAACCCAAATAATCTGTCACAGGTCTTATAAACTGAAAAACATCCATGCCCTACGGAGCTCTCCTAAGAATTATATCCTTAAAGCAGGATATACTTTTTGCACTTACATACAGAAGTAGCAGCAGCAGTCAGTCTTGTATTTGAGACAACTCCAAATTCCTAGAGAAAAAAAAAGTGGTCAAGATCAGGTACATACAGAGGCAGAGCTGCCTGAAACAGAATGTCAAACTGCAGCGGGAAGGCCGGGGAGGGTTGGGGGACAGGAGGTAGGGGGGTAAGAGATCAACCAAAGGACTTGTATGCATGCATATAAGCATAACCAATGGACATAAGACACTGGGGGATAGGGGAGGCGAGGGGACTGTCTGGGGGGGGGGGGGGGGGGGGGCGGGAATGGACACATATGTAATACCCTTTGTATTACTTTAAGCAATAAAAAAAAAAGATCAGGTACATAGAAAGCCAATGAACTCAAGGGTATTTGAGATCTATTCAAAACAGAGTATTTCCTATGTTTCCTCCTTGTTTATATTTTATCTATTTATTTTTAATCCTCACCTAAAGATATTTTTTACATTGATTTTCAGAAAGAGTGGAAGGGAGGGAGGAGACAAAGAGAAAAACATGTGAGAAGCATTGATGTGAGAGAGACACATCAATTGGTTGCCATTGGCAGGCATCCCAACCAGGACCGGGGATGGAGCCTACAACTGCGGTATGTGACCTTCACTGGAATTGAACCTGCAACCCTTTAGTCCAAGGGTCAACGCTCTAACCACTGAACTAAATTGGCCAGGGCTCCCCTCATATTTATATTGTCTATTCATCTTCTACCTACTTGAAGTATGATGTACTTAAATCTCTAAATGTATTACCTTTCCTTAAAATTGCTTCAATTTAAGTGTTTAAATAATTTTAATTTAACATCACTGAAAGATACCAGATTAGAAACCAGGGACATGATAGGTTTCGGCACTCAAATTAGCTTCCAAGGAGATTTTTTAGCTTCTGCCCTTAATAGCAAGAATATTAAGTGTTGTTCTTATTCAATTGGACCTGGACTAACAGATATTTCATGCCATTTAATAATAAAGAAGTTGAATTTCTGAAGAAAATAAACTTTAATATCACCAAAAGAACTCAAAAGACCACACAATTATTCTTTTTGAAACAGCAAGAGAAGAATGATATAGTATAAGACTTCCAATGTCAGTTCCCATTTCTTCTTTGAGCTTAATATACCACCATTCTAAAAATGACTAAAATTTACGAGGTGATCCACCTTACATATATTGCCTCATTTAATGTAATCAACCTAATAAGATGACTAAAATATATATATATATATATATATATATATATTTTTTTTTTTTTAAAATATATTTTATTGATTTTTTACAGAGAGGAAGGGAGAGAGATAGAGAGTTAGAAATATCGATGAGAGAGAAACATCGATCAGCTGCCTCCTGCACATCTCCTACGGGGGATGTGCCCGCAACCCAGGTACATGCCCTTGACCGGAATCGAACCTGGGACCTTTCAGTCCACAGACCGACGCTCTATCCACTGAGCCAAACCGGTTTCGGCGACTAAAATATATTAAAAAAAAATTACTAAAGCCTTCATTTCAATTTATTTTTTTATTTTTATTTTTTTAAATATATTTTATTGACTTTCCACAGAGAAGAAGGGAGAGGGATAGAGAGCCAGAAACATCGATGAGAGAGAAACATCGACCAGCCGCCTCCTGCACGTCCCCCAGTGAGGATGTGCCCGCAACCAAGGCACATGCCCCCGACCGGAATCGAACCCGGGACCCTTGAGTCCGCAGGCCGACGCTCTATCCACTGAGCCAAACCGATTCGGCTCAATTTATTTTTTTAATAAATATATATTTTCTTGAGTTTTTTACAGAGAGGAAGGGAGAGGGATAGAGAGTTAGAAACATCTATGAGAGAGAAACATCGATCGGCTGCCTTCTGCACACCCCCTACTGGGGATGTACCCGCAACCAAGGTACATGCCCTTGACTGGAATCGAACCTGGGACCCTTCAGTCTGCTCTATCCACTTAGCCAAACTGGTTAGGGCTTCATTTCATTTTAAAACAAAAATTAAGAATTGGTTCCTTAGCCAACAAAGAAACTAAACTAAATCTAGTCTATTCAAATACCTTCAACTTACATCCTTATCCTTGGACAAGGGAGGGCAGTGGGGCATGTATGTATGTATGTATATATCTATATTCACATTTAAACCTTAAACTATAATAACTAAGATTAAAAAGTAAACACCTGAGACATCTCCTTAAGTACCATTCACATTTAATTTCCACACAACTGGACAAAACAAAGAAAGATTTGGTCATAAAGATGAAAAAAAAATAAAGCTATAACCAAATATGAAGATACATTATTTTAGGAATAATTTTTTATTATTTTTTGGATAAAAATAATTACACACACACACACACACACACACACACATATTTGATTTTAGAAAGGAAGGGAGAAGGAGAGATAACAACATCAATGATGAGAGAGAATCATCAATCGGTTGCCTTCTGCATGCCCCCTACTGACACTGAGCCCAAAACCAGGGCATATGCCCTGACCAGGAATTGAACCTTAACCTTCTGGTTCATAAGTTGAGGCTCAACCACTGAGCCACGCTAGCTGGGCTATGCAAAATTCTTAAGGCGAAAACTTTCAATAAATTGTAAAATAGGATTCTAGTTAGAAAATCATATAACAAAAAAATATAAAGAAACAAGACAAATTAAGAGAAGTTTATAAAATTTTGTCTAGGTTCCCATACTGATTGTGCTTCCAATACATAAAATTACATGATAATACTTGGGAAAATCACCCCACAATACGGGCTTTTTATAAACATTTTGTCTTCCATTGAAAAACTTAACAACAACAAAGCTGGTTCTGCCTCCTTCAACTATCACTTACAATTAGAAAACCTTAAACCTCTAGAAAGCTTGTCTTAATATAATTTCTAATAGAGTCAACTCTCATTATTTTAGGTAATATGCAGGAAAGATATCATCAACAATCCTAAATAATGGCTAAAATAAAATTCAAAATGAGTATCAAAAAGAATGTAAACTTACTTGGTTAAAATTACATTCAATATTCAAGAATACAATTACTATTCGAAAGCTGTGAGCTAAAAACAGAAACATAACACAAAAGTTTCATAATGCTAAAGACTGCATAGATTATTATGTAAACCAGTCAATGTCTGCTACTATTGTCTGGATTTTACCTGAGCTCTCTTAAAAATACTGAAAAGGGAAATAAGGTGGCCAAAGATTTGGTTTCAGGTGCAAATTTTCATGTCTCTTCTCTCTCCCTCACCTAATTTCTCTACTCTCACTGCCAAAATGATTCCTCATTAGAATCTACGTAGCTAGAACCACCCCCAATCCCTGCCTTCCCCTAGCTTTCCCTATGGGTTGGTGAGAAGCCAATCATTAGGAGGCAGGAAGGGAATACAGTAGGACATAGAAAGCAAATGAAGAAGGATACTGCCCAGTTATAGTAAGAACCTGTGGCACTTACGGAATACTACTTAGTGCCAAACAATAAATGTCTTAGAGGCAGTACAGCAAAGCAGTTAAGTGCATGGGATTTATGAGCTAGACTCCCAGGGTTGAAATATTAGCTTTGCTGTTTACCAGCTCCATGATCTTAGGCAAATTTCTTAACCTCTCTGCGTTTAATTTCCTCATTTATATATCTACTAGAGGCCCGATGTAGAGTAGGCCTTCCTTCCCCTGGCTGCTGGCACCGGCTTCCCTCTGGTACCCAGGACCTGGGCTTCCCTCCTACGGCTGCCGCAGGCACCCGGGACCCAGGCTGATTTCCCCTTGCCCCAGCTTCGTCAGGAAGGACATCTGGAATGATATCCGGAAGATCCAGTCTAATTAGCATATTACCCTTTTATTATCATAGACTAGAGGCCCAGTGCATGAAAATCCATGCACGGAGGGAGAGGAGGGGTCCTTCAGCCTGGTCTGTGCCCTCTTTGCAGGCTGGGACCCCTTGGGGGATGTCCACCTGCTGGCTTAGGCCCGCTCCCCAAGGGGACTAGGCCTAAGCTGGCAGTAAGACATCCCACTGGCAGCTCAGGAGTAGACAGGGCCTAAGCTGGCAGTAAGACATCCCACTGGCATCCCACAGTAAGGCAGCCCGGAAGCCCTTGGGGGATGTCCGACTAATAGCATAGGCCCATTCCCCAGGGGGTTAAGCCTAAACTGGCAGTCAGACATCCCTCTGGCAGCTCAGGAGCCCTTGGCCAATATCCAACAGCTTAGGCCTGTTGGACATCCTTAGCGCTGCCACGGAGGCAGGAGAAGTTCCCGCCACCGCTGCTGTGCTGGCCAGCCATGAGCCAGCTTCCGGCTGAGCAGCGCTCCCCACGTGGAAGCACACTGACCACCAAGAGGCAGCTCCTGTGTTGAGCGTCTGCCCCCTGGTGGTCAATGTGTGTCATAGAGACCAGTCATTCCCAGTCATTCTGCTGTTAGGGTCAATTTGCATATTACCCTTTTATTATATAGGATATATCTCTTTGTTATGAAAATTAAGTCAGTTATAGTTGTAAAAGGACTTAAAATAGCACTTGATTGTACACAGTAAGTGCTATATAATCGTTTATTAAATGAATATATAAAATACAGATATGTGTATATTTCTTTAATTTTGGTACAAATTTCAGTATTTTGCATAAATCACCATCTATTATTATTTTTACATAGGTAATGTGAAAACTGGGGCAACACACATTGACTATACTTGATGAAAAATAGAAAATTATTTCATACCTCTACTTTGGATGCCAAAAACACACATGTAGGAGCCATTAATACAGGATCTATACTTTTCAGAGAATACCTAAAAAACAGTAAAACAAAGTTACATGTAGAAAAAACACTAGAAAAAATTAAGATAACTATGGCAAACACATGATTCATCTATACTAAGGTTCATCAAACTTATACAAGAGTCTCAAATAAGCATAACATTTCCAAAATAAAGCAGTCCTACCTGGCATAGAATCTCTTGAAATAGACTGTAGCAGTGGCAATAACTTGTTGTCTTAACTTAAGATGTTCACCTAATGCTTGGATAACTAAAAAGAAAAAGTTTTAAATGTATTTTCTGGTATCCATGTGGTTAAATCATAACTATATTCATTTCTAACATAGAGGAAAAACCTACACATCCTACAAAGCTCTACTTGGATAACAGTTAATACTAGAATTTACAAAAATATATGGAAATGCATAAATAAAAACAAAAAATTGAACTGCCCCACAGCAAACACTATTCTTGTATTAAAGAAGTTGAATGATAGGAATTTCTCCTCTACCTTCTAAGAATTTCAATGCCTCTCATATTATTTTTAGAATATAAAAAGAAAAGATTAAATACCTATCAAACTCACTATAACTACCAACTTATAAAGTTTACTTACAAATCCATAATGAATCCTCAAAACAAGAGGTAGGTTTGCAGAAGAGTGAACTAAAGGTTAGAAAGATCATGTGACAAAGCTACCATATAGCAGAGCAAGAATCTTTTGCCTCTAAATCCCCTTCCCTCCAAAGCAAACTTATAAGATAGGAAATGCCCAATACAGGATGTCAATCCAAAGAATCATTTATCCTCAAAGTAATCTGCTCTAGCCAATCTTAAATTGAGTTTAATAATTCATCATAAAGGCTTAGAAAGATTAAGGAACACTTTGAAACTGTCTTGAATGTTTCTGACATTAAGATTCAAAAACGACTTTATTTAGATCACGTAAAAAAAAGATAAATGAGTATGAGTTGTAAAAAGGTTACATGTATAAATAAAAATATTAAGTAGGGACTAAAACAGCTCATCACAAATTACTGCACAAAAATATTTTAATTCAGAGGTAATCAACTGTACCATTTCAACTAATTAAAAAATTGTTTTTACCATTTGTAAAAAATATTTGTAATTTCCAATATTCTTCTTCTGAAAGAAACTTTAAGTCCTTTTGGCGTTCCTTCAACAGATCTTGTTCATCCAAAATCCATTGCAAACTAGAAGAAGCAAAGATAAACATGCTATAGAAAAATCAACGAAGTCATAGGATCAAACAAGTTATTAACATTCTGAGAAATACAAAGTACACGTAATCCTGAAAGACATTATTTTCCACATTTCTTGAAACTCCCAACACAGAATTATTTTGCTAGTAAATATGCCCTGAAATTTTTTATATTTTCTCTCTTCCTTCTCAGTCTGTCACTAGTTTTACTGTATTTTCATTGATACTAAGATTCTGACAAAAAGATGCATCTTACAATCAGTGGTGCCTCAGCCTTATAAGTGGCCCTACTTTTATTCTTTCTTAGTAATACATAAAATAATGGTGAAGATATTTGGCACCAACTGATGGTGCCTTGAATTTGATGAAGTATATCTTTTATCAGTTGTTCATGGGTAATTGGAGTATTTAATTTTACTACCTAACCATTCCAAACATGTAAAAGCTGCTTCAGAATGTACTCACTGACAGCCTCCTTCCTCCTGCTTAGTCAAGTCTACTATTTTTAACCAGATATGAAAATGACATGACCACCCCCCACCCCAAAAAAACACACACTATTCTGCAACCTGCTTTTGTCACTCAGTATGTATTGGAAGTATTTTAATGTCACTGAATTTATTATTCAGCATTCTTTTAAACTGATGAACAGCATTATGGATTGAATCATTATTTTTTAGTTAATCCCTATTGATAGGCATGTAGGTTATTTTCCCCACTCCATTGCAAGTAATACTTTAATGAATATCTTTGAAATTCAACCTTATATATTTGATTAATAATGCATCTGAAATAATTTCATAGAAGTAGAACTGATGGGCCAGTTTTGCTGGTAACTTTGATATAAATTGTCAGTTTACTAGGTGTACCGGTTAATAATGCAGATTTTTTTTGATAGATGGAGTTACACATATGTTGATATATATGTGATTTGCTATGTATGCTATTTTGTTGTATTGACAGCAAGCTTCAAAACTTCATGTCAAATTTGCTGAAGGTGTTAACATCATAGATATTTTTATGCTTAAAAATGTCAAATTTCATGCCAAAAAAAGAGCATTTGCGGAAAGTTTTAATTCATTATTTTGAAGAAAAAGTTATATACTTCAGGAAGCTTATGGTGAACATGCTCCATCTCAAGATACTTGTGAACGCTGGTTTAAACACTTTAAAAGTGATGATTTCGATGTGGAAGACAAAGAATGTCCAGGTCAACCGAAAAAGTTTGAAGACCAACAATTACAAACATTATTGGTTGAAGATGGGTGTCAAACTCAAAAACAACTTGCAGAAAGATTCAATGTTGCTCAGCAAACAATTTCAGATCATTTACAAGCAATGGGAAAGATTTTAAAGGAAGGAAAATGGGTGCCACATCAACTGAACGAAAGACAAATGGAAAACTGAAAAGTCATCAGTAAAATGTTGCTTCAACAGCACGAAAGAAAGTCTTTTTTGCATCAAATTGTGACTGACAATGAAAAGTGGATTTATTTTGAGAATCCCAAATGCACAGAATCATGGGTTGATCAAGGTCAACCATCAACATCAACTGCAAGGCCAGATCTCTTCGGAAAGAAGACAATGCTCTGCGTTTGGTGGGATCAGGAAGGTGTGATGTATTATGAGCTTCTAAAACCAGGTGAAACCATTAATACTGATCACTACCGACAACAAATAATCAATTTTAACCACACTTTGATCATGAAACGACTAGAATGGGCCAGAAGACACTGCAAAGTAACTTTGTTTCATGATGACGCACCATCACACACTTCAGAACCAGTTAAAGACACGTTGAAAGATCTTGTCTGGGAAGTATTAACCCACCCACTGTATTCACCAGACCTTGCTCCTTCGGATTACCACTTGTTCCAATCGATGGCACACCCATTTTCCGAGCAGCACTTCAAAACGTACAAAGAAGTGGAAAATTGGGTCTCTGAATGGTTTGCCTCAAAACAAGAAAAGTTCTATTGGGACGGTATCCACAAATTACCTGAAAGATGGGGAAATGTGTAGCTAGCGATGGACATTACTTTGAATAAAAGCACTTTTGATGTTTCTCTTGAAATTATTGTGTTTTCTTTGATTACAAAATCCGCCATTATTAACTGGTACACCTAGTAAGTTCTATAAGTCACAACAATTTCCCTTCCTATGAACAGTACCTGGGCATGTCTTAAAGTATTTAACCATATGGGTTATTGCCAATCTTCCAAATGATGTGTCTCTCTTCTATGGATGTTTCTCTCTCTGTATCTCTCCTTCCTTTCCACTCTCTCTAAAAATCAATGGGAAAATATCCTTGGGTGAAGATTTAAAAAAAAAAAAGGAAAGAAACATCGATCTGCTTGCTGCCTCATGCAGAGCCCCTACTGGGGATCAAACCTGCAACCAGGCATGTGTCCTGAGGGGAATCGAAACAGCAACCTCCTGGTGCATGGGTTAAAGCTCAACCACTAAGCCACACTGGCTGGGCTATTTAAGTATACATCTTGAGTTAAACATTTTCTATGTTTTTATTAGTCAAAGAGAATTCTTCTTTTGTACATTATAATTCTAATATGGCCATTTTTAAAATGAGATATTCATCTGTTTTGTTTAGGAGATTCTTCTGATCTAAAGTTTGTTTATTATGGACAATAAATCATTTGTCTATCAAATATGCTGCAAATATTTCCAAAGTTTAGCATGATCTCTCAATATTTAATTATTTGTAATACAGTAATCTGAATCACTTATATACATATTGAAATTTACCCATTTTTTTCCCTTTAAATTTGTGATCCATCCAGAATTTATTTTGGTATAGGATATAGAGATCCAGCTAAATGTTTGTCAAATGGTTATCCAAATGTCACCAAAATATTACCTAATGTATAATTTTATCATTATATTTGAATTTTCTTTATAATTTCCTATTTTTGTTTTTTCCTCCTTATACCATACTATTTAAAAACATATAACATTAAATAATTAAAATCTAGTATGGAAAATGCCCTCTCCTTGATATTATTTTTCAGAAAATTTCCTGCTATTCTATTACAATTATTATTATTATTATTTTATGTTAATTTTCACTTAAGGATATTTTTCCATTGATTTTTAGAGAGAGTAGAAAGGAGAGGGAGAGACAGAGAGAGACACATGGATGTGAGAGAGACACATCAATTGGTTGCCTCCTGCATGGGTCCTGGTGATTGAGCCTGCAACCCTGCAACCAAGGTACCTGCCCTTGACGGGAATGGAACCCGGGACGCTTCAGTCTGGAGGCCAATGCTCTATCCACTGAGCCAAACTGGCAAGGGTTTCTTATCACAAAATAGACTTCACAAAACAAGAGATAAAGAAGGCCACTTCGTAATACTAAAGGGAATGATTCAACAAGAAAATATAACCCCTGTAAACATATATGCACCCAATATAGGAGAACCCAAGTACATTAAAAAACTCTTAATGGACATACAGGGAGAGATTGACAGCAATAGTCATAGTGGGGGACTTTAACACCCCCACTGACATCATTGGATAGATCTTCCCGACAAAAACTTAACAAGGAAACAGAGGCCTTAATGACACACTAGATCAGATAGATCTAACCGATATTTACAGAACATTTCACCCCAAAGCAACAGAATATACATTCTTCTCAAGTGCACATGAAACGTTCTCAGACAGACCACATGTTTGGGCACAAAACAAGTCTATACAAATTCAAGAAGATTGATGTAATACTAAGCATCTTTTTGGATCACAATGGCATGAAGTTAGAAATCAACTACAATAAAAAAAACCTCAAAAACCCTCAAATACATTATTTTTTAAGTTGAAAAATCCCTATAAATTCTGACAAACAGCTGTCAATTCTCTCACCCTCTTTCAGTTTCTCAGAATACCTCTTCTCCACTACCTAAATTTCCTGTATTTTAATTTTGCCCAAACAAATATTTCAGTGAGTGAAACAGTATAAAATAAAATATCAGACGTAAAGCTTTTATAGCATTTCATCTCCACAGAATCACTTTACAACAAGAGGAAAATCTGCTTTTCTGAAAATAGGCATCCATGCCCATTGTTTCTTTTTTCCTGCAAAGGGCTAAAAAAAAAAGAATGAACACTGTAATCCAATCTTTAAACAGAATCAAAATTTAAATTACAACTACTAATGCTCTCTTGGCATTAGAGAGTATTTACACTAAGATATCATCTTTATCGGGTTGTATTCATCTTCCACTTGTCTAGTCAAAGTTCAATTAGCCCCATCACCCACCTTCCTGACTGCTTAAACAAATGTATGTAGGCGGAAATGTTTTTAATATTACTCTAGCTCTTCCATGGTCATTGACAGAAACAAAAATTTATTCATGAAAAAGGTGAAGGAAATCGGCAACGTCACTGATAAATACACTCTTAAAGTATCAGGCACAGATGATTAATGAAATAAATGTTGAGAGCACCTGCCCTATACCTTACCCACATAAAGCTCCATGTAGACATAAAATACTGGCAGGAGGCGGTTAATGAGAAGAAACAAGCCCGACTCCTTCTCGGAATAACATTAAATCCACTCAAGACAGGAGGTGGATGACAAAAGACGAGACAGGATACCGACCCATTGGCGAGATCCCAGGCAAAAGGTGACCCACCAGGTCCTCAAGAGCCAGCGCCCAGTTCTGAACTGTGCCACGCTCCCCTACCTGTGCCAGCCCAGCCCAGCCCCTCCGCGCCTAGCTAATCCAAGAATCCTCAACCTCCCACCCGGAGACAGAGGCCCCTTCCCCCCGCTTCCCGCTCACGGATCTAGGCCCTCCCCACCCCCCGCAACTCAGCCAAGGGAGGGGAGAGGGGAGTTGCCAGAGAAAGACGCATCCCGCTTCCGGCCGCCACCGACTGCCGGGAGATTCCGCGGCGTTTGGGACACTGGCTATTCTAGGCCAAGGGGAGTCGCAGGCCCCGTCATCACCGCCCCCTCAAGAGCCAGCCCCAGCGAGAAGACGGAAGCTCACTTACTAATGGGAGCTCTGCCAAAAGTTCCCTGCCATGGAACACAGCTTGCCCTGATAAAAAAGCACCAGCCGGCGGAGCGGCTCGCGGAGCGACCATAGACCCAGCACGCCCGGTAACCGCGCTCCTCGATCGGATCGGCTCAGCTCCGCTCCGCCGCGACGAAGGTAAAAGGAAGAGGATGGCACCCAATTCCTTTTGACGCCGGCCGGCAACACTCTACTGTGCAAACCCGTTCCTATGGATAAAAGTTCCGGCTCGCCCCGCTGCGGGGGAGGAAGCCGGCTGGGAGGAGACAGCCTCTGGTCGCACCGAGATAGTGCCTGGGAACTGGTGCTCACGAAGGCTCGCAGAGGGAGGGAGGCTCTCGCGAGAGCTTCGCGCTAGTGCCGGCCTGTAGCCCGTGCTGCCTGGTTTTCTGGGGCAGTAACCATTCGCTGGGTGGGGATGCAATGCTCTTCGGGCTGTATTATTCCATTGTCCCTATTACAGGCCCCCAAAGCAGCATGGTGGCATAGAATGAAAGGTTTTCTGACTTCACTTCTTTCTCCTGCAATTGGGAAGAGAAATAGAGATTATTTTGGCCTCAAGGCTGCGTTCTTAATGGAGTTCTTTTGGAGTGAAGCAGATCATTTAGAGCAGCGGTTCTCAACCTGTGGGTCGCGACCCCTTTGGGGGTCCAACGACCCTTTCACAGGGGTCGCCTAAGACCATCGGAAAACATATAGAATTACATATTGTTTTTGTGATTAATCACTATGCTTTAATTATGTTCAATTGGTAACAATGAAATTGGGGGTCACCACAACATGAGGAACTGTATTACAGGGTCGCGGCATTAGGAAGGTTGAGAACCACTGATTTAGAGCAATAGTACTTTCGAGAGAGCACTTTTCACACTGTGGGTGGAGACCAATTAGGATGTGGTGAAATGAGTATAATAAGCATTTTCCTAAATGAAAAAAAAATCAGGTATATTAGAAATAGCAAGGCTATTATTTAAAATTTTGACTGTTACATACGAATTTACTTGTACTACATCAATGTACCATATGATTTCACTTATATGTGAACAAAATAAAGGAGCAAATAGAGACAGACTCATAGACACAGAGAACAGATGTATGGTGGCCAGAGGTGGGGGTGGCGGTGGGGGTGGGGGCTGGGTGAAAAAGGTGAAGGGATTAAGAAGTACAGATTGGCAGTCACAAAATACTCACTGGGATATAAAGTACAGCATAGGGAATATAGTCAATAATATTGTAATAACTGTGTGTGGTGCCAGGTGGGTACTGGAAATATCAAGGGGAACAGTTTGTAAAGTGTATGATTGTCTAACCATTATGCATACACCTGAAACTAATACAAAATAATATTGAATGTAAACTGCAATTGAAAAATAAAAGTTAAATTAAAAAAAGGTGTAAAATGCATCTTAGTAGCTTAACATAAAAGCATTTTATATCACATGTCCCTCCCATAAAGTCTGATGTGGATTAGATTGTTCTCCTTGATAGTTGCCCTCCAAATCTTCAAGAATGTAGTATGTTTCCATCTTTCAACTACTCCATCTTGGTTCTTTGCCTTCAGGCTTAAAATCTTTCTAGAAAGAGTGCCCAGAACTTTGACCGGCTCTTAATCAGTGTTAAGAGACTTGAACCAGAAACAACACCATCACTTCCTCTCTTCCCATTGACCAGAGCAGGCACATGCTTCTAACTTAAATGCAAAGCAGATGAGAAATGTAGAGGAGTCTATAGTATAGTTGATGAACACTGCTATCGGCTATACTGCCAATCCCGGTCAAAAAAGTTTGAAAGGCAGTAGCTTAAGAAACACCAGGCCCAAGGGTACCTCACATTGGTTCAGAATTTCTTCAACTCTCAGAGGTTGCCAGTCTGACATCCTCCAGAAGGTAAGGAAGGATCCAAGTTAATATGATTAAATGTTTTATTCTGTGTGCCCCCATTTCACTATTTTTAACACTAGGCTAGCATTGTTTCATACCTAATTCTGCACTCTTCTTCCCACAAAACTGTGAGCTTCTTCATCTTTTTTAAAAAAAATATTAGTTCAGGGTGTAACACATAGCAGGCGCTGGTATTTGTGGGGCTGGGTGCTTAGAGAAAAATAATATAACATGGACATAAAGTTAGGTTGAAAGGTATTTAGAATGCAAAAAGGAATCATAACAAATTATTAGTCTTGAAGATTTAGGTCCTTTTGTGAACTCTTTTAGACAATTTATCAGACATACTACATAGAAATGCTCTTGTCTGAACCTGGTTTCTACTTTGCACCCAGAACTCCAAATGCCCAGCAGCTCCCAGTGCTCCCAGTGGCTGCGAAAGCCAGGGGCCTGATGCTCAGGCTTCACTAGCTTCAGATTGAGTTATCTCTGAGGGGACTTTTTAGAGGCAGGTTAAATTGAATGACTTGAGCTAAAAGCTAACTTCATTTTAGGATATCTGATGGAATAGAGCAACTTACAAAACTGTTAAAATGCCTACATATCCCAGCTTACCTGGATGTAAAAGATGATGGGCCATGTAGTTTTGGTTCTTTTTGCTAATTTAGCTTTTTAACTTTTCTTCATAATTTTAGGGATATTGTGTCTCAGTCCTCACTACCTTCATAATTTAAACTTACTGGAAGCAATCAATCTTGTCCCTTCTAAACTTTCATTTACCTTATGCTTTTCAAATAGGGAAGTGATCAATAAATTCTTGATACTAATGTTGATTCTCCTGTGACACACACACACAAAAGCAATTTACCCTTTTTCCTACAATACTTTCTCCAGCAGCATAAATACTACTTCTCAGAAACTAAAGCCTAGAAATTTAGTGGTTTTATCAAGCACACTTAGCTAGTTAGTGGCAAGAACAGCTAGGATTCAGTTCTGCTTCCCAATGCAATGAACTTTTCACCCAACCATATAGCTTCAATAAAACTATGACTAAACAACTGTAAACACATTATTCTAGGTTTGTAGTAAAAATTTCCCCTCCCAAACACTATTACTGAAGACCATCTTCTCACTTTTAATTAAATTATTATATTCTTTGGTACTAAGAGTCATTACTGTAAAAATATTCTCTCCTCTATCTAGTCATTTATTGTGCCACCTTTACTTCAATTCCTAGACACCTATGCTTGTTGAAGATGACTAAACCTCGAAACTTTCTGGTAAATTGTACTAGTTAAGAACTCAGTCTCTAAACTCCTTGTAGACTGATCAGTTCATGGAATAGATCTGCCACTTACTAGATATGTAGTTGCCTTAGTCAGCATAGACGGCTGTAACAGAATACCATAGTCTGGATGGCTTAACCAACAGACATTTATGTCTTACAGTTCTGGAGACTGAGAGGTCCAAGATCAAGGTGCCATCCCTGTTCTTGATACCCAGTAATTCGATTTCTGGTGAGAACTATCTTCCTGGTGTGCAGATGGCTGGCTTCCTGCTGAGTCCTTACATGGCAGAGAAAAAGAGAGAGAATAAGGAACCAATCCCATCATGAGGCCTCACTCTCATGATCTCATCTAAACCTATCTAACTCCCAAAAGTTCCATCTCCAAATATCACATTGGGGTATTAGGGCTTCAATATATGATGTGTGTGGGGGGGGGGGGGGAGGGGGCGGGGGGGGGGAGACTACATACTTTCAATCTATATTAGTAACTTTGGTCGAATTCTTAGCCAGTCTGAACCTCAGTTTCTTCATCTGTAAAACAGGGATAATCATATTCCTAAATCATAGGTGTGGTGAAGTTTAAATAAACCTTAAATGAAATTAGAATAGTGCCTGATACATGGTAAGAGCTCCATAACTCTTTTCTTTTCCCCTTAGCTTTTATTATTTAAAACAAGTAAATAATAGATTTACAATCTGGATAATAGAGTTCTGTTTTCACAGATAAGGAAGATGGTGTTACCCCGATACAAAGACAGATGTACTTACTCTACCACTTAGCACTAGCCCTTGACACTTTAATGCATTTGTACTCTACAGGGAACAATAATCAAATAATTGTTGATTTATAGTGTTCCACTGTACTCATACCATTGGGCATTTGTTCTGCCCTGTACACTTCTAGGTCTGGAATCTCCAAACAGTTTGGGGGATTCTGGAATTCACTTTCTGGTTTCCGTTATTCTGGAATGGCCTTTGAGAGAACACAATGTATCAATAAGAAACTTAAGCACTGAAGCCCAGTATTCTTATTGTCTGAAGATTCCAAAGACCAAGAAATGTCCCGTTTCTAAGAAGACTCCCTAGAACAAAAAAAGTAAAAAAATTAGTAAAATTAGTAAGTCCAATCAAGGTGATCCAGCTGGATTGCAACTAAAAGTTTACACCAATTTATCATATTATTTTGCAATAAAGAAGGTATTTAAGGAAGGACAATTTATGGAATAAATGAATGGAAGTCAGAAAAGTCAAATTTGGCAGGGTGTCTATATGAGTTTTCTATTGCTGCTATAAAAATTATAGTAAACTTAGTGTTTTAAAACAACACAATTTATTATCAAGTAATTCTGGAAGTCAGAAGCCCAGAATGGGCCTACAGAAATCTTTACTCAGCTACTGGGTACTTTTTTTTTTAATCTTCTTTATGAATGAAATCTATTAACTACCTGAAATGTCCCCATGGTTAATAATAGTTACATGTACATATTTTATTTAATCTAATTAACAAGCCTATTAAGTGGGTATTCTTATTATCATGCTTTTATGGATGAAAAAACTTAGGCTCAAAGGTTAAATAATGAGCCCACATCTACAAATGTAGTATGGTGAAGTAGGATGCAGTAACAGCCTATGTGCCTGGAGTGTGTATAACTTCACATCTTACTCATAATGCCGAGAAGGCACAAACCAGCTATGTGACAATGCTGAACATATTAAGGAGTAATAAATATCATACTTCCACAGGCTATCCCATAGTACTGAGTACTTAGTTACTAGTGATTCCTCAATAAGTGCTTTTTTTTTTAATATATTTTTTATTGATTAAGATATTACATATGTGTCCTTGTCCCCACGTTACCCTCTACCCTCCCCCCCCCGCTCATGCCCTCACCCCCCCGTTGTCCATGTCCATTGATTAGGCCTATATGCTTGCATATAAGTCCTTTGGTTGATCTTTCCCCCTTACCCCCACCCTCCCCTACTTTCCCTCCAAGTCCCGACAGTCCAATCAATGCCTCTCCGTCTCTGGATCAGTCCTTGTTCATCAGCTTATGTTGTTCATTATATTCCACAAATGAGTGAGATCATGTGGTATTTATCC